TTGCCCAGCTGGGGCGGAGGGATCTGGGATGCAGGCGCTGCGCTGCCTCAGACAAGTGGCATGCAGCAGTGGCCACTCCAGCCTCTGAGGCAGTCCACTCACCTGCCATGCCTTTGTTGTTTCTAGGCAGGAGTTGCCCATTTTTAATGCCTTGATACCAAGGGCATTATACATAGCTCCAACTTCCACTCTAAGCTTGAGCCAGTTGAGACCCCTGGGTCAATCCACAAGCAGCTGACCCTTTCACTCGATAGCCACTCCACCCTGCCCCCAGACTCCTCTATAAATCATTTGTCTCACACCTAGCTTGCTTAGAGCCCCAGAAATCTAGTATAAAGGAACTCTTTATTTCACTGAGCCCCTCCACAGACCTCTCCCCAGAATCAGCTCCACTCCCAGGGTTTTTCCAGGCCTTTCCTTAGTCACCCATACTTTCAGCAGTTCTATTCAGGGGGGCTTATCTAGTCTGTCTGTAGGCCCACAAAGTCTAAACCCCTTCTGTCTGGGCTGGCCTGTGTCTTCTCTGGGCCCATGTCTACCCAGCCTCTCTCGATAGGCCATCCTGGCCTTTCTTTGTGGCCTCTGTATACATGGCCCCTTACTATAGGCTGGCCTTTCCCCAGCCCCAGGTCTTTAGCCCCCTCCTAAGGGCTCTGTACCTCTTCTGGCTCCCTAGGAACCTCCTCTTTCCCCATAGTTCCTACCCTAGCTCGCAGATGTTCTGGGAGCAGCAGTACTCAGGCCAGGTGATGGTTCATCCTTTGGCTTCCCAGTTGCAACTGGCAGCCCTGCTCTTGTCTTGACCATGACTACCCAGCCCTATGCCAATCAGGCAGTCTCCTGGGTGCCATGTGACCACCTGATTTGGGTCTGCTCCCACCTGCAGCCCTTAAAGTAGCAGGCACCCAAAGGTGCACTGCCACACAAAGTTATGTTTATGATTACATTAAATGTATATTGGCAGTGTCCTTGCACTTAAGAAAATTGTTTTCTTTTAGCACTAACACCATAGATCATAAATGTTGACTCACATGTACTTCTCAGTATTTGTATTTCAGTTTGCAAAATGAAGCTGGACCAGTCAGCTTAACTGGTCTAAGTCAGTTTGACTTTTAGGTTTTTCTGAGCTCATAAAATGTTTGAATTTGCAACCCTAGGGAAGTGGTCAGCAACCTACGGTCACTGAAACCTTTGAATCCAGCCCAAAGATGGGGGCTTTTGCAGTTGGGGGGGGTGGGGGATGCCTATTGCCAGCACTCTTCCAGTGCTACTTAGGGGACAGGTAGTGGCGAAAGCAAGGTCCTGCCACCCATCTATCTCCAACCTAAAATGAGTCATTGTGGCCTACAGCCACAATGGAAATGGAAAAGATTGCCTCCCCCTGTCCTAGGGGATTGTTTAAATCTAAGCCATCAGTCTTCATTAATAGAAACCGTTGATATCCATAATTAATTTTTTTAAGCTATTTCAAAAGATAAGTAAAAAAGCACACATGCTGAGGTCATGGTAGCATCCTTTTTTAAATGAAATGGAATGCCCTTGACTGAACATCTTACAAAAGAATAGACGTGAAAGTATATTGCTGCACATGGCACCTTGGCATTTCACAGGCTCTCAGCATTCATTTTTCAACTTTACTTTTCCCTTTTGTATTTTGGGTGAGTAGACCTCTTAATTACTGGTCATTGTTCCATCATTATTGCTGCATTAGTTTGACCAAGTTCCATGTGCATATTTGCACATTTGTATAATGACATTTTGGGTATTATGGCAGAATATTTACTTTTGAGATTAAAGTAGTTAGTTCTGTCAGTTTCTTTCATGGGTTGGTTTAAACTGATACCAACTCAATATGGTGTGATGTGAACCTTCTTTGTTTGGTGAGAGAAGTCACATGATAGTTAAAAGATGAGTTTCATCTCCTGAAAGTGATTTGATGCAGACTCCATGTAGACTCCAGCTCCTTGTTAGATTAACTTTCCTGTCTCTGAACAGATGGGGCACTGAATATGCTGAATAAATGCTTGGTGGGGAAGAATGTTTAATTACTCTTTGTTACTTGAAAAGGCAAGTAATTAAAGCCCTTTTAGTGGTAACCTTGCTTGGAGCCAATTAAATTGACAGACACCTCCAGAGTGCAGGGGGTACACTGTTTATGGCTGATATTGTTCAAATCACTTGTGTATTGATTGTGTGTTAATATCAGTATTGACCAATTTTGCTGAACTACACTCTTTGCACTTCTGAAACACTGCTCCCAGGCAAATTCAAATTCCTGTAAATCAAGATGTTTTCTAGCTTGCTTTGTTTGCCTTCCAGTCTTGTATTGCATTATCAAACTCTGCTAACAAAGTGTTTTTTTTCATTCAGACAGCTTTTGAGGGTGCTTGTTCACAAGTTCTTATGCAAAGTTTTTGGTGCATGCATTGGTGTAATAACCCAGCTTCTGTGAATGTGTCCTCACTATTTTATCTGAAATCCTCTCTTGCAGTTCTTGCCACAGACTGTGATTCTGGCTCCAACTCTGAGATTTCTTACTTTATTCAAAGTGCTGATTTTTCCATCACGCCTCAGGGAGTCGTCAGTTCTAAGCAGCAGCTGGACTTTGAACGAGCAAGCCATATGTATGAGTTTGTGGTGATAGCTGTAGACAAAGGGCACCCTCCTCGGACTGGAACTGCATCTGTGCGCATTCGAATGACCAATGTAAATGATGAGGCACCCGTGTTCTCTCAGTCTGTGTAAGCACAGTTCAAGTTTTAGATTATTTTGTATATTGCAGTCATTGTTTAAAAGAAACTGCAGATCGATAAACACCTACTCACATTCCAAGTGCCCTCAAGTTACTGAGAAGAAGTTAGTGGCATGCATTTGTGAATGAGAGCTTAAGGAACTGGGCAGAAACAAGTTGCTTGCTTGTTTTAAAAAAAGGACACTCGCTACTCAGAATATAGACTGTTAGACACTTCTGTTTCCCCTCTATTACTACATATGTAGAAAACAAGAGGCTGTACTTAACAAAATGAATGAAAGAGCCAAGTTCCTGGGGAATCTCTTTGTACATTGTAGCTAGTTTCAGTTATATGATAACTGGCTCTGTAAGACAGATTGAGGTGTGGGTTATCTAATACTTTCTAAAAACAAATTTTAATAGAAAAATTGCATAGCAAATTAACTAGATAGAGCTTGTTCTTACATATGAGGTATTAGATAGTAGATTTTTTTAACCTCCCCGCCCCCAAAAATCCTTGGAAAATGTATGTCAGATTACAATCATAGTGCAAACTGTAAGTCAAAACTAGATTTAAGTTTACAGCCTTTGAATAATTTAGTTTTGACTTACAGTTTGTACTATGACTCCCAAAAAGGTAGATAATACCACATTCTTTAAATTAGTTACAGTGTGTTAGCAGAATGCTAGTTCACTTGATAGTACGTGTACTTCAGTTGCTTCCCTGCTTCCATCAGTTACAAAACATTCCTCTCAGAAGATGCTGGTCCTAGTACATTAGTGGTTACTGTACGTGCCAAGGATCCTGATGGAGATGGGGTATTTTACCTGATTACTGGTGGCAATGAAGAAGGCAACTTTGAACTGGATAGCAAGAAAGGTAGGAAAAGAGGCTTTCAAAGATTTACCTTATCTGAAACTACTGTGACATTGCTTTGTCCATATCAGAAACAACTCTTGTTGTACAGGCAGTCCTCGGACTTGCAACACAATTGGTTCCTGAAAACCATGTCTTAATTCGAAATGTTGTAACTCGGAACCAATTTTCTCATAAGAAACAATATTATAAATGGGGGATTGGTTCCTGAACCAAGGCCCGATACCCTATTTTCACCAAAAATACCCCAGAATTTTGTATTTCATCAAATATAGATGAGTAATATAGCTACATGAATATATTTATATTGTAAATAGTGATTTGGAAGGACTTCTTTGAGGTGACTTTGCTGGACATTTAGAAAGGCTCTTGGTTGGACTTTTTGAAGGGTTCTTGCCTGGAGTCTTCTCAGGAGTCTAGGAGTCTTGGCTGTAGGTTTTTCTGGAGTCTTGCCTGCTTTCTTAAAGAAAGTGTCCAAGGCAGTTTGGACAGATGTTCTCCAAGGAGATGAGTGATGCAGCAAACTTGTTCACTGACCTGGTGTCGCATCAGATCGAGTGTTGTGAAGTCAAAACTGATGTCATAAAGTTGAAACAGGGTGTCAATTAATATATGTTGTAAGTGCAACGTTTTGAGTTGCAACATTTTGCAAGTCAAGGACTGCCTGTATTTCAATGCATAATTATGAGAGGCAAAATAGCAACTTTTTTGTATAGTCTGTAAACTGTACTGGCTTCCTTAATTCAGAACTATTTCTCTCATGTACTAGAGACTACCAAATGCATTGAAATACTTGTCAGGCCAAAGACCAATCCTGTACTTTCAGTCAAAATCCAAATCCACCCCAACACTGAGTGGCACAAAAATGACACTTCTGGTTGTCATAAGTAAAATTGCACTTTCTTCTCCATTATGTAGGCATCATTAAACTTCGGAGAAATCCTCTGCCCAAACTAAAAGGACCACAATACATATTAAACATCACAGCAATAGACGACAACACTTCTGGGGGCCCTACTCCACTCAGAAGCTTTGCAGAGGTTATTGTAGGAATTAACGATGTTAATAACAACAGGCCTGTTTTCAGAGAGGTAAGCTGCCATCCTGGAAACCTCTTCTCCATTATTATCACCTATGCAGATGGTTATATGTTAAGTTGGCAATGTAGCAATCTCGTCCTTGATTCCTTGAAGTGGCTAGTTTTAAAGGGCAATATTTAAGGTATACTAGATCTTCTGTAATGAAATATACCTCCAGTTTTCTGATGTTTTCATAATTTAAATAGCAATAGATTTTTTATAAAAGAGTTGACTTCTCTAACATGCAGAGTAATTCAATTCTATATTCTTCAAAACTGTGCTGAAAAAATAGTGACACTTAATAGTGACACTTAATAGGTGATTTCTAAAGCCTTGTTTGTTTTGGGTTTAAATTTTGTATTTGTATAATATGTAAATACAAATATATAAAATATTTTTAGTGCACCTACTACAGTGATAGCACCTGGGTACTAGAAAACCAGCCTCCAGGCACCTTTGTCCTGAAGGTAGCAGCCTATGATGCAGATCTTGGACTTAATGGAGAAGTGAAATATGGGCTCATGCACAGAGATGGAGCTTCACCAGGCTTTAACATTGATCCAGATACAGGTGATCCATTCTCAACTTGTTGCATTAAAGCAGAATACAGATGCTTTTATGAGAGTTTGGGTGCATGCTTTTCTGGTATATTAACAGGGTATTGCTATAACAGTGCATAGAACCATAGACTGTGTTTCCAGACATAGAGACGATATCAGGGACAGTTTGAAATGGATTCTAATGAAATTAAAGCCATAGCTTTTGTTTGTGTATATCAGAATCATAATAATGTCACCTGAGTACCAATCTTCAAAAAAAAAAATCTCATTGGTAGGAAGTTTATGGAAGTTTATGGCAAATGCAACAAATCTTCATGGCAGATCTTTAAGTCACATAATCACCGTCTGAAAGAAACAGTATTTCACTCAAACAACTATGTGGCCAAGCATACACTGACTTAATTGACAGACAAGCCAGGGTTAAGGTTAGGGGGAAGGAAGAGTCATCCTTATTTCCTGGGATGATGGAGAATTTCAGAATAGTTTTAAGTTCGTGTTGAGACAAAATTAAGAATAGAAACAGACAATGGGTTGTGTTTGGCAGAGAAGAGTAAATGCACTTTTCAGGTAGGGTCAGCATTCACCTTTGAATGTTAGAAAACTTATTTCTAAACTGCTTAATGTCTCTCCCATATGCAGACTGGGAGCTCAGAATATCATTTTATATGTACACACAAATGTTGTGGGTTTTTCCATAGCCATGTATGCTTGACTTACAGAAAGTATTTCTGTTTCTAGGAATTATCACAACCACTCAGAGTTTTGACCGAGAGAAGCAGAGAGAGTATGCAGTCCCTGTTACAGCTACAGATCAAGCCCAGGAGCCATTGACTGGTGTGTGTCAGGTCACCATCTTCATTGCTGATGTCAATGACAATGACCCCAAATTTGAGAACAGTCGCTATCAATGTGAGTGATTTTAACCAAAAACCCTTTATTCTGACACTGGAATATTAATTCTTCACAGATTAAATTAATTTTTTAAAAGTGCTATTGATGAAAAATATTTTTTCATGCTGAAAGTTGCATCCATGTTAAAAGGGATCTTTTTTTTGGTGAGCATTTTATATATGTGGCTCATTAAGATAAAAATCCTGATCCTGGGATAAAACCTTCAGTGTCCTCTTCTCAAACATAATATTAGTAATCCTTACTTTTTCCAAGGGATAGTTATATTCTGTTGTCTGCTGCTGTCCTGCAGCAGACACAGACATTTTTATTGAGGCCAGATTGAAATATAGGGGACAGCCAGACAGGATAACAGAATACGTGCATATCTTTTCTTTCCTAAAATCTTATATCTGGGGAGTCATTTTACTACAAAGATCCTTTTCTGCAATACTAATGCCTTGCCAGTTGTTCCCCATTTTGTGTCCACATTCATTTTTTCCCTCTTCTTAAGTGTAGTCTTCTGCATGTGTCTATTGAATTTCATTTATTTATTTTAGGCTATTTCTCTATTTTATCAAAATCATTTTGAATTCTAATCCTTTTCTCCAGTGTAGTTGCAACCCCTCCCAGTTTGGTTTTGTTTGCAGATTTTTATAAGTGTACCTTCTATTTCTTTAGGAAAGTAGTTAATGAAAATATTGCTTGAAACTGCAGGTCCTTTTGTTTTCTACACATGTCCTTCCAATTTGACACCTAATCACTGATAATTACTTTTTAAGTATGGTTTTTCAACCAGTTTTATACCCATCTTGTAATGTTATGCAAATATGTGGGACTGTAAAAATTCCTTACTACAATCATGTTCTATCATTTCTATTAGGTCAGTTATGCTGTCAAGCATAAAATTGGATGTGTCAAGAATAGGGTATGCCAAACTTAATCCATGTTGGTTGTTTTTCACTTTTCCCCTAAGTGCTTATAACTTGTTTAATAATTTCCTTTGGTATCCTTCTGAGCCTGAAATTCTAATACCCCAGGTTCTCCTCCTGATGCATGTTTGCATCTCCAACTCTTTGGTACATCATCTGTCTTCCATGAGTGCTGGAAGATTAATTGCTAATGGCCTAGAGATTGAATGACCAGTTATTTGAGTACCCTTAAGAAATTGATAAAACTAAAAACTGAAGAGTCTGTAATCTGACTGGAAGCCTCCGATGACAGGAGAAGCCTTTGAGGGAAGGCTAGAGAATTTATCAACAGGTTTTAGGTGCTTGTGACTAGATGAGTTTGTTAAACCCATTCTAAAAACATTAGTGTAGACAAGGAAAACTGTGGGCTAACACATGTTAGCTAGCTAGTGTTAGTGGTGAACTATAGATGCTTTTTATTACAGGTGTTAAGAAGTTTATGACAAGTTGTATAACCATCACTTAAATTGTTGTAACCCAGGCAGTATTCCAAGAGGTACTCCCTCTCCAACTGAAGGGATCAAAGCAGGTGCACAAGCGCTGTGAGAGGTGTAGGGACTCTCCTCCCCCTATGGAGCAGAGCCAGACCACCAGTGGGAACTTAACCATATACCTTTTAATAGAGAACAGTGCTGGGAACATAACCAGTATAAACCAGGGGGTAAAGAGGACACTACAACGCCCTGAAGGGGCAGGATTCAACAAAGGTTAGACGCTTACAATCATAGCCATATTCATCCAGTTGACAAAAGACAAGGTTAACAGAATATAAAACACAAACAGTAAAACAAACAATACTGGTTGGTGAAATATAAAAGTCACAAAATACAAAATGTCAAATGACAAGGAATATAGGGCCTAGGTACCAGGAGGGGGAGAAAATGCACTTTCCACTGCAACAAGAATTTCTCCCTGTTACTTCACTCACCCCAAGTCATCCTAGTGGGACTTGAACTTGGATGTCCCATGTGGTAGGCAGAAACTACCACACAGTCACCAGTGCTGGTACTGTGCCAAGCTGCTAGGGGTCTTGGCCTTCCAGGAGCCCCAGCCTCACATCAAGCTGCCCGGCCTCTGATTGGAGGAGCTGGAAGCAGAGCTGGGAACCTCTCAGGTTGCTGCTCAGATCCTTGATGGAGCTGGGGAGCCGCTCCTCCTGCTGGCCGCAGCCTCTCATAGGGGATCCTAGAGCCCAGTGGGAAGCCTCTCCTGCCGGCTGCATGCTGCACTGCTGAGGGTCCCACTACTGCCTGCAGGTCCCACTCCTTCAGGTGCTTCTGAGGCAACTGCTCCCACCCCGTTGGCCCAGCTCTTTGAAACTCCTTCCTTGTGGTCCCTTGCTGGTCTCCCCTGAGTCAGCTGTGCTGCCCCTTTTATCCCCCTCCAGGTGACCCAAGGGGCCAATCGGGACACAGGGGGGTGAGTCTCTGGGGCCTGATTGGTGAGGAAAGGGAATCCCAAGTCCTCCAATCATCTCTTACCCTTTCAAAACCCCTGGGTTAAGTCACTGCCAGCTAGCCTGTCACATTGTATTGGCCAAAACCATGCTTAAAAAACCATACATCTTCCCTGAAGTTCCTGCCTCAAACTTCAGCATAATTCAGGCTTGTGCTAGACAAACTTTCCCAATGCCCTCTCATCTCTGATTGAAATACTGAGCCTCTTCAACAAAGATGGCCAATTGTGGTATCTGCTATGGTCGTTCTGATGCAAGAGAAGGGACTGAGGGATTCAGACTTTTTTCATGTGGTTTGAACTAGTTCTGAACACAGTTGAAACACCGTGGTCACATCTGATAAATCCTAGTTCTAGTAAAACTCAAAAGGGCATATTATCTCAAAAATGAACATAGGAATTGCTTTACCAGGGCAGACTTAATAAGCTATCTACTCCAGTCAGTCCAAAAAGCGATCTACTCTATTTGTCCCAGCCCAGATGTGTAAAGAAATTTGCCAGAAACTCCAGAATGAACATCTAGGGCGCTGACAGACATGAGGGTGGGGTTAGGGTTAGGGACTGG